GGGATCGAACCAACAACCTTTCGAATAGGGGAAGACCCGCTCTGCCTCTGAGCCACAGCCTCAATGCTATTAACCAGTACCACAACAGAATGAATTTTGTGTGTTTCTGTCCTGTCTTATTGATTCAGGAAATAAAATAATTGGTGGCTCACTTTTTAAATAACATACTCTTTAATCCTTGAGTTTTTAAGGAAGGCATTAAGTTTTTCCAAGTCAAAAGGAGTCCAGGTCGAGTTGGAAGTCTGTTTTAAGTTTGTCACAATTTTGCCCGGACTCTCCTTTCATAATCCCATGCGTCTGATAAACAATACTTAAATCCTGGATTGAAAGTTTCTTATGAGTAATCTTTTTCAGGCATTGCAGGCATTAACATTAGGAGTTTATAAACTGACATAACACATCAGAATGAGAACAGAATGAGAGGACTTCTGTGCTCTTAATTTGTGCAGGTAAACAGCATAAATGCCTGATGGTCTGGGACACAGACACAGGTCATTTCTCACTACCTGTAAAACCTAACCTTGTGTAGTGTGTGTAGTGGCATTGCTGCCAGTAGCTGCCATCACTGGAATTTCATGTAAGTGCCACTTACAAATTTCCCACTAAAAAGTGCAGGCATCTTTGATTGTTTCTAGGAAATCTGACCATTGTTTGCTCTTATTATCAATTTTGCAATAATAACAAGGGGGAGCTGCACTAACTGTGGACAGGAAAACAGCACCAGGGAGGATGGTGGCAAAAACAATTTTGCTAGGAGGGACAAAAAGAAGTTAGTCAATAAGAGGGTTTTGTTTGGAATTTGATATTTCTGAAATATTGTAATTTTAATTTCTGATTCCTGGTTCCATCCAAGAGTCGTATCAGAACACAATAGTGGCATACAGCAATGCAAGCTGCTGCCTAATGTAAGTATGTTTTAATAGATTTTCTTCCAGTAATTATCAAGGTTTTACTACAAAATTTAAATGTTCAGCTGCCAGCTGTTGTGGGGACATCAGATTAAAAAACATCATGTTTTTCCAGGGCAAAATATATTTTTCAGGTTGTTTACAATTATTTTCTTTTTTTTCTGGAAACTGGAAATTTTAAATTTTCAGATATGCGTGGGAATCCGCCGAAAAAGTTTAAACATAAGCTGAGAGCTATTACACTAACCGCTAATGATATAAAATGATAAATTCTCTGCAGGTCTGACCAGGAAGTAGAGGTCTTGCCAGTGGACCCTGTATTTTCCTACCGACGTCTGCAGGAGATGGAGGCTGCGCCCCAGCAGGCCAACAGTAAGTGTCCTAAATAGCAGTAGGTTAATGCTGTGACATTTATTTAGTTTATCATCTCAAACACAATGTCTCTTTACTCAAACCAAACGAGCGTTGTTTTCTTCCTGTGTACTGGTGTTGAGTAACATCAGTGTCAGGACATACTAGAAATATTTAACTTTCAAAGTAAGGACAATACTTAAATGGAATTTTATTTTTTTCACCTGCCTTCTTCATTTATTAATGAACTGAATGGAGTAGATTTAAAAAACTTCAACTGTTGTGAATGTGTGCACTTACATATATTCAGATGTTTTTGCATTTAATTAATGACAAAGACACATATAATATTATAATATTAATATTAAGTAACTATATGGGGTACCTAGGCCTAATTTCCTTCATGTGGGTTTTTGAGGAAGAACAGCCTCTGCTAAAATGTTATGCCTGTTTTAATGTGAATCCTTTGATTTTCTATGTGTTTCAGTGGGAGAAGGTGTGGTCCAGTTGCTGGATGGGCTCAGTGGAAGGCTGCTGGCCAGTCTTAAAGAGGTCCTGGTGGAGAGAGACAAGCTCATCCTGGGCAAGGAGCTTGGCAGAGGTCAACTCATGATTCCTCATCAACAATAATTCTGTCTTAGCCTCACAACGCAGGACCACCAACCTAATTTGATAAAGCACCCAGGGGTTACTTTTATATTTGAGCATTCTGCAGTCCAGTGCCAATGCAAGAAGCAGTACGCCCTTAATGAAGCAAAGCAGAAGTAAGGGTGTGGATGTTGGTGTGGTGGATGGGAATGTAGTGCATTTGAATGTAATGCCAGAGCAGCACTTCATGTACCATCTCCATGCTTAAAAAAAAAAAATCACTCTCTTTCCCAAAACTTGAGTGTTTTTGTTGCCCAATCCTGTGTCTGAATGCCACTTGTGATTTGTGTCCACATGAGCAGCCTCACCTCTTATTGCATACTGCCACCTCCTGGTTTAGAGTGCATGAAAACAACAAAACTCACCTTGAAGAAAACATGAATGCTTATAATTCTGTTTAGAACATGGGGTAGTGGTAGTGGTCCTCCTGTGGTCAAAATGAGTATTAGAACAACAAACACTTGAAATGATCCAAAATGTTTTCATTTGCCTTTCAGGGCTTTCACAGGTAAAAGTTTTTAACTTAAACTTAAAAATTCAGTTTGACTCTGCCTCTGATTTGGCAAGTGTTCGCTGCCTTCATTGTATTGGTTGGTTAGGTTTTGTCATAAGGAGTGATTTTTATGAAAAATGGGCTAAGAATGTCCTTATTGAAATACATTAAAAACAGCAGAAGACGTGGAGTTAGGGTTAGGGTTGTTCTGAATATGGGCACTGGCACCTTTTTTTCGGCCAATTCAGGCACTGACCTAATCCTAACCATACCATAACTGTGGTTCCTTTGTCATACCCATGGTCTTTTCCCTAACCATACTGCTATGCAAGATACTATAGAATGAAACTATAGAAAGAAGGGATTTAGGAAACTATTGAACAAAATCTGGTGATTTGCATAATTGTCCAATATCAGTGTTCTGTCTACTGATAAAGTTCCTTGCTGGACTTATTTTCTTTCAATTAACAGACTCTGGGAACTTGATTAAAGTACAGCTGAGGCTGATGGAAATGTCATTAGTTATAACATAGACCAAGTTTTTGGTCATAAACCAAAGTATTAGAAGAAATTTTGATCTAATGATGGCGCTAGAGGAAAATTAAAAGGGGATCACCAAAATTATAACAATTCATCCCATAGGGAATATAACTCTCTATCAGGTTTGATGGCAATGTAAATGTCACTAGATACATCACCTGGGAACCCTAACTGTCTGTGCCAAATTTTGTCCCAATCCATCAAGTAGATATAGAAATGTCACTGGATGAGTAAAAACCTTGATCTGTTCATTGCACTAGTCAGGTAATCACGAAGTCTTTAGGATTTGTCCTGTGGAGACCATGAATGACCACATAATTGGCCTGGACACTTCATCCAAGTGTTGCTGTGATACTAGTGTGGACCAGAGTTGTGGAAAGATTGACATTGCTATCCCCTAAAGCCATGCAGAGCAATGGTTAGAACTGAACTTGTGAGATGCTGTCAGGTTTTTCAATGCTAGAACCAGGTGCAAAATATATTTCTTTTAATTATATGATAATACAATATAACCCATGAGTCTGCAGGTTTATCTCAGAAGTTAATTTCTTATGTAGCTATATTACACCCTAGTACACCATCAACAAGGTTATTGATACATAAAATCAGAGGCCAGACTTTAGGGCATTGAAATCCACTGTTTCATCAATCAAATTGAATCATTATTTAAAACATATTCTAGTTAAAAGTAAAGTGAGAGTAGAGTGATAAAATTTGGTTTTGCTCTGTTCTGCAGGAGAGTTTGGCTCTGTCTATGAAGGGGTCTATACATCAGACGAAGGTGTGGACATCAAGGTAGCTGTGAAGACCATGAGAGGTTTGTACTGAAACTCAAACCCTTGATCAGAACTCTGCTCTGCTACTTCTTATTTTTGTCATTTTTCTATGTTCCATGCATCTAGTTGGAATCCACAGCCAGGAAGACTTGAATGAGTTTTTGAGAGAGGCAGAGATCATGAAAAACTTTGATCACGAAAATGTGGTCAGACTAGTCGGTAAGGCATACTACCTAATTCGCTACTCGAATGCTTAACTGTCCAATGAAATGTTTAGGACATAACCAGTGTGTCCTTGGCTGTCTGCAGTATTTCAGAATCCATTGCATGCTGGTCACTTGTTTAGTTTTGGAGTGGGTTGGCATTTGTATTGCGATAAGAGGTTGATTCTGAGTTGTTTGTTGGTCGTGTTTTTGAAAGGAGGTCTGCACCTGAAATTCAATTAAATTTAATAAAATTTTATTTTATAGTGATAATTCATAACAGCTGTTATCTCAGGACACTTTTCAAATAGAGCAGGTCTAGACCGAACTCTTTATAACAGAGACCCAACAGTACCACCATGAGCAAGCACTTGGCGACAAGGGCAAGGAAAAACTGCCTGTTAAAGGGAGGGACGGCTGACGTCAATGACAAA